ATGTATAATAAATAAAATTGTATACTAAAATGTGAAAACTCGTTATGACAGTTTCTTGCAATAAATATTAAGTGTAATTAATAAGAAAGAAAATTTAACTTTACTCAAAGTTTTCGCAAAAGATTGAAGATTTTGTTACTCTTCCCTCGAAAATCTTTCAATTATCAAAATCACGAATACAATTTGTACGATAAGATCGAAATCCTTTAATTGTCTGCTTTAACTAATAACAAGAAAGAGAAGAAAGAAAGAAAGATCCTTGATTGTGGAAAGGAATTCTTTCGAAAGTTCAGAGATAAATTTACAATCACAATTAACAGCAGTAAAACTTTTATATTCACAGTTCTTCGAAAGTTAGAAATAAATTCACGGATAAATGAACGATCCAATGGAAAAATTAACTTCTTTGAAAATGTTAAAAGCACTTAAAAGCATCGTCGAATTTACGGGCAGATTCTTTCAAGGTTATCAAGCAACAGGATATGTAAAAACGAAACTAATGTAAACTAAGAATTTTTTAAAAAATTAATAAAAATTAATAAAGATAAATTAAAAAAAAAACAATAGATCTCGAAGAATAGATCTCTTAATTTTCATTTCATAATTTTATTTCAATTTTTTCCATTAATGTTTAATTTACTCTTTGAGAAGTTATATCAAATTGATTTGTAGATTAATTTTTACTTTTGTAAAATATATGATTTATTATAAAATATATCGCATCGTATAAATAGAGTCATGAATTTGAAAAAGAAATTAAAAAAATATATAATTAACATTGCTGCTTAAAATTGTGCAAATAAGTGACAAGATATTGATTAATCAAATAATTTCTGATTAAAATGACGTATAATTTACGATTGAGAAGAAAGATGAAAATATGCTTTCCTAGAAAACATGTTTCGTATGAAATAAATCTTATTAACAATAATTCAATGATCCGAAATGACGAAATGTATAACAAGCAAGCAAGAAAAATAATCAATGTCTATTCTAGTAAATTGCTTTTGTAAAATAATTTAAAAAAAACCATTCTGCGTATATATAGTAATTTCTCGAGGAGCATTCTAAATTTAGAATTTTGGATAAATATTATATTTTAAAATATCAATATATAAATAAATATTAAATAAAATATAATAAATATAAATTTAAAAAATTTAATTATTTATTTCAAATTTCAGTATTTTCTTTTATTTTTTCAATTATAAAATTTAAATGAATCCTTTCTTGCTATAAAAACACACAAGTTGAAATATCAAAACTTAAATTTCATGGATAAAAATGTTCGTGGATTCCTTAAAAACCAATCCTGATTTTGAGATAAAAACATTATATACTAAATCTCAAAATATTTGCACATTTATCTTTTCTGCGGATAATATCAAATTACGAACTATAATTTTCCCTTATGCAACCCTTAAACAAATTACCGAAGCTGTTTTTTTTTTGATATTGATTTTATCTAAACAACTCTGACTAAAAATATTATCCTCTTGACTAAAAATATTATCTTTTAACCGATATAACGATTATTTTCATCAATCGAGAATTTGAATTTTTTTTTTAATTTTTTAGAGACACGTCCACTTTGTGGAAATGATCGTTTAAGAATTATCCGAGACATGTGACAAGATAGAAATAAAATTTCATGATTAAAATAAACTAAATATTTCTCATTATAGAAATAAGGATAAACGAATAGGGATGACGAACAATGGAATAATCTTTGTTCTATTTATAAGAACTCTCATTATCACAATAATATTATTTTACTTTGTCTGAATATTTTAATAATAATAAATATAATAAAATATTATTTATTTTTGAAAAAAATTAATAAAAATAAATAGAAAAATTGAAGAATGAAGAATTTTCAAAAAATCAAATAATTTTTTTTATAATTATAATTTGTTTAACTATACCAAAATATTTTAATAAAATATGAATATATATTTTAGATTTTCATATCTCTTTTATATTATTCTTTATTTATATTATATTGTTTTAAACGTACAATCGTACAAAGCCTACCTAATCGTTGATTAAAAATTCACTTCGTCCAGTTCGCGTGAAAGCCTTAGGGTAATCTCCAAGGTAGACGTATCACTGTGCCACTTGGCCGATGAGGCGTTAGGATCAACCGGATGTGGCGTCTCAAGGTGGAGCCGATAACTGGAAAATTGTGACTGACTTTAAGCTTTGGCAGATTTACGGAATCGTAAAATTGTCAAAGAAATTCCAGTTTGACTGAAAGTCAGGGCAACGAAAGTTTGTAGAGAATTGCCTGATAAATTATTGGGATCGTCTCTTACTTTAGGCTACGAACGTCGATGGCCTCGGTTTCCACAGACAGCTCAATTTTCTCGCGCTTTTCATTCGGCATCTTCACAAACACAGACAACCATTCGCATGATGCAGTTCCTGGTGTTTTAAAGCCCATCTAATTTAACAAGAAAATATAAATAACTATATAGTTATTCTTTATTTTAGTAAAAATTATTCATTAATTATTTTGATTATTTTAGCTATTGATTAAGATATTATATATAGATATATTGATTAAATATTAAGATATTTTCAATTTCATTTTAAGGATTATTTTTTAATATAATTGAGAAATAGAAAAATATATATATATCACAA